ACAGTACTTAGGTATAGGTAGGTAGGTATTAATTTTTTGAAGATTGTTAATTGGAAAGTCCAATGATAAAAGTGTGAATAGGTATTTAGAGTACCTAGGTAGGTAAGTATTTTATAAATACTTACTTATACTAACTTCGGTTTCGATATTCCCATATGCAATGAGTTGGTTGAGAGACTGAATGTACCTACCGACCTTTGAAAAATTCTCCATATTTTTGAATAATGATGTACTTACCTTAACTTTCCGGGTTTTGTTCCAGGCTAAAGCAACGGGTGCCTTAAGCTTCACAACCTATGTGTACATACTTACCACATATTGCTATTATATTTATACATTATAGTAGGTAGTCTTTAAAAATAATTGGAATATCTACTGTGCGGGACAGCGATAAATAGAAAATAATATAGTGCGAATGGCGGACACGTACTACGCAACACAGTTGGCAGCAGTACCTCCTCAAGAATGGAAAAGAAGAACCAGCAAGAAACTGCAAGAACAAGTGAGAAAAACGGCTGGAACATAGTACGAACATTGTAAGGCGGCGAAAATATACATCTTCGAAACCACAAAAGGGTGCCTCATTTCCTCACCAATCCAGCAACTACAGTGTTTACAGTACTTCGTATCCTACTTAGCAATATGCCTATGAAACCAATAAAGCCATAATAGGTACTTAGATAAGTAGATATCTATAGGGTAAACACCCACATTATGGACAGTTTAAGAGAAAAAGAAATGGTAAGTATTTGTGAAATGTTATCAATATTGTGAAAGTACTGAACGTACCTAAAGTTGGAAGTCCTCTTCTTACACGATATTTCTACTGTGTTACCTATGAAGTGTTACAAACCTGGTTTCGACTGGTAACAAATAAAAATTAGATTTTTGGTACCAGTTATAGACACCCAGTAATGGACATGAACCCAGTCATGGACATCCAGTAATGGACATGAACCTAGTATGATGACACTCCTAGTATTTAACCATAGAATTTATGATTAATGATTGAAATGAGAATAAAATGTACTTAATAGAATATAAGTAATAATAATGATTATTTTAATTTTTGCCTAATTAACTATGTTTCTTAAATCTACAATGTGATTATGATTAGCATTAAAGGTGCCTACACAAAACTATTAAAAAAGTGTTTTACGAAAATAATCTCGATCACCCTTTTTTATTCAGATTTTCAGATTCATTAATTGATTAACAAATAGATAGGTATCTTCTTTTCTAAATTATACTCTTTTGCCACTTATTTCAATAACAAAATATTTCCATAAGCAGATAATCAATTTTAGGATGCATTTAAAAAATATAATTGTATCACAACACAAAGTAAAACATGTTTGACCAAAGTCTTCGTAAAATATGAGTATTTTTGTATCTCATCATATTATACCACTCCACGAGCATGTCACAGAGAAAAAAAACGTTTAGGTAATACTTCAGATATTTAAACTTTTTTTTACTGTTTCAATAGCACAGCCCGTTTCAAAAACAATACATTTAATATTTAATCATTTCATATCGATGTCCATAACTGGAAAAAGTAGGTGTCTAATGATAGGCGCATTCCTCCATTGCTAGTAGGTATACATCATTATTTTTATAATTTACAACTAGCTTGTAGTATAAAATAATAATTAGAATAAAATATGTTCAAAACCGAAAATACAAAAGTATATTTAAAGTAAGTATATAAGTTTCGGACTACTTTAAATATACTTCGGATATATTCGGATTATTGGAACTTTTTAGTTACATCGCACCAGTTATTATTAACATCAATAATAAATCCAACAAACAACCTCTCTGATAAATAACAACAAACGTGTGCTGTCTTCATTTCATAATTAAACCAACAAACAAAACACATTCTGATTAAAATAAAGCAATACCAGTATAGGTAATACATGTGAAACTTTTTATTTTCCGCACTAACAAATTCCTTAAAAAAAAGCCGCTGAAATCAATTTTTATTCACCGGAAAACTTTGAATTCCCGCTACTTTTCTATCGAACTGACAGATTGAAATATAATTTGAAACTATAACAGCTTTAGTTCTCAATTAATATGTGACAGTGATGCCAACTTAGAAAAGTGGTTAACGTCTTCATTCTGAGATATTTAATTATTTTTCGTTCATTAGGTACTGCTTCCTTGTCCATTACTGGTGCGTTTACCCTACTTAAGTACTGTAAGAAAAAAAAAACAAAACTTCCGGCCCGGCTTTAGTTACCTAAGTTACGCGAATCAAAATAATTATACCTACATTAAATTGCATACTAACCTATTTAGTCAAAAACAACAACCTAAATATTATACTTACCAAAGTGCACAAACATTTTTAATAAGAAAGTGTTATTACCTTCTTTAATAAAGACATATCAATAAAACACAATACACAAGAGGTACTTAGGTACCAAAGCGCTATAAAAATCACGACGTCACTTCACATAGATAGGTAATTAATAATCAGCGTAGTGTGTAGACGGCCTAATATGGTAGAAAATGAAAATAAGGGGGTAGATGAAGATTCATCACCCGAATGCAGGGAGCTGTGACATCGCGTCTTCAGTCTGCTTGTGACCACGACCTGTGCAACCGGGTCGAAACGTCAAGCCTACCAAGGTATTCAAATTATAATTTACCGCGTTAATACCCGCGTAAATATAATGTTGTTAAGATGAAACGCGAAAGTTTAAAAGTTAGTATAGGTAATTAATACTGTGTAAACTTCACAAAAGACTGCTTTTTCAAAATAACAATCATAATAAGATTAAGTAGGTACCTACCTACCTACAAAAGTAAGTATGTCAAATGTAAACCTAGTTACTTCGATACAAATATTTACTTACGCTGCTGGAAAACCTAGGTTGGTAGGTAGTACTTTAGAATACTTACTTATTATCTAAGGCCTAAGGGCACAAAAACAACATACCTAATCTAACGGAAATCCTCTAAAACTACGTTAAGCAAAAGGACGCGGGTTGCAGGTAGTTAAACCATTTTCGTTGATCTGGGTCAACAGTTTTTTTATTCAAAATCAATAGATATAATTTTATTTCACACATTTGCTTTTGTCAACACTCTACAATCCCCATATCCGTTTGTTCACAATTAGTAAAAACTAACGCTTTACAACTACCTATCGAAAAAACATCCTGTATGCTAATCCAGCTTAGGTACCTACCTGAATTTAAAATTATTGCAAAACTGTCAAATCTTACCTAAATCTGTCTTCATTATGCAAGTACGTGCCATTCGACCACCACAGATGGGGCCCTAAAGGGCTGATGTTCAGCCGGGGTTGCGGGGTAAGCGCAATGAGGTACCGCGACCTCGGCACAGAGCAGGAGAAGGAACAGGGGGGTTTTTAGTCAGTAAGAGTCTGACACTCCCTCCTGCCCGGCCCTGGGCGGGAGAAGTCATTTGATGATTTTCCCCTCACAAAAAAAAAAAAAAAAATTATGCAAGTACGTATAGATATCTATATGTATATATCTAGGTAGATAGGTACCTATCGATACGGAAACAACTGCGTATGTGTGTGTGATCCAAATCGACAAACAAAATCTATACTTTTTTATTATATCTACATTTCTTAAATAAAACAAATCTAATATACTTAGGGGTGATTTTTCAATGGTTAGATAAAAGTTATCTGCGGGATAATCATGGTGCTGTCGCGTCACAATGTTTGTATAAGCAGCGACAGCCACAATTTTATTCCTCAGGTATCATTTATGTGACTATTGAAAAACCAGCCCTTAATAGGTAAGAATTAGCTATTAGCACAGTATTATATTTTTATTCTGTTTTATCCTATTAGGTACCTCTCAATTATCAGCGTTAGGTAGATAGGTACACATATATCGTAGCTTTTTACAGCAACCACGAATAAAAAACAATCGAGCTAACGGTAATTTCTTGACGTTGACCACCGCCATGTCGTTATCATCTACCTTAGAACCTGAAAATAACTAATAAATCATTATTTATTTCCTTAAGATATTTTAAATACCTAATTATGAATTTTCAAAGATACAAATTGACAAAGATTCAACTTACAATTTAAAAATATAATAGGTAGATATTGATTAATTAACTTCTACAGTGTTTGTTATGGACTTGAATGCCACGGGAAAAAATACTAGATACGTAAAGTATTGAAAACGATTTATTAGTGCTTAGGTACCTAGATATAATAAAAAATATTGGTACTTATTAATCAGCTATGCAGCTGTAGACACCGCAGTAGTGAATTCATAGGTAGGAGGTATACTTGAATTGTTTAATAGAAAATTCGCCACGTAACTAAACCAAATGGAAAGGGGGCATTTTTAAACCCGAGTAAGCTCCTCTAACCGACCAACCTAATTACTTCGCTTTCTATTTATATCATCCCTGGCTACGTTGCCCGCTCATTAATAAAATACTTTTTTAATCGTAATAATTTGATGAGTCGATGGAACACCTTAACCTTTGGATGTCTACTGTCTACCTATTTTACAATGTTTCTACTTCTAGTAAGTAGTAAATATCACGTAGAGCTTTTCCCTAAAATTAGTGAATCAGCCAAACAATGCATATAAATGCTAGAACCGTTGACAGATGGACAATGGGTCAGGATATAGGACGAGGGTGAGGAGTGTCACTACGGGGGCAGTACGGTGCCAGCGCGTTAAGCGCCGCCCATAGCGGTGCTCTGGGCGTACGGCGCCCCACGTCAACGACGCGATAGAGATACAAATGGGCCTTTTCGGGAGCGAGAGCAGGACGCGCGCCCGAAGGCGGGGCACTAGCGAGACAATCGGCGGTGCCCACTCCACCGCTCATTCGTCTTTCGCTTAGCCTCCGCTATGTAAACCGGCCTTGTTGTGAATCTAAACAAAATCGGTCAGTCGTCGTTTTGTTGCCGTAAGAGCAGCGCGTCGGAGGTTCCGCGCTTTCGGGTTGAGCATGTTGCGACTGTGAACGTAGCCGGCAAAATGCACGCGTTGTTTGGTGAACAGAGCCCGTATGCGTACCGCGGAGGAGCCGCTGGTGGTTATTCAGCCGGTGTCACACCTTATGCCTACGAACAATACCGCTATGGATATGGAGCTCCTTACCTTCACCCCCATCAACAGCACGTTGGTGCACCCAAAGACATGGTCAAGCCACCTTACTCTTATATAGCACTCATAGCTATGGCCATACAAAACGCTCCCGAACGACGTATTACCCTCAACGGTATTTACCAATTTATTATGGAAAGATTTCCTTACTACAGAGAAAACAAACAAGGCTGGCAAAACTCTATAAGACACAATCTAAGCCTCAATGAGTGCTTTGTGAAAGTGGCAAGAGATGATAAAAAGCCTGGTAAAGGCAGTTACTGGACTCTGGATCCCGATTCGTATAACATGTTTGATAATGGCTCGTACTTACGCCGACGGCGTCGATTTAAAAAGAAAGATGCGCTTAGAGAAAAGGAAGAAGCTTTAAAGAGACAACAACAGTTGCAACAAGCTCAGGAGGCACTCACCGCGCAGGAGGCACTCACTGCATCGGACACTCTAGGACAGCAGCGTGACGTTAAACCTGATGTCAAGCCACGAATCTTCGAATGTCGACCGAAACGAGAACCCGGAGCGGACTGTGCAAGATATGACAAACCCGTCGACAGTCTTGACGACTTCAGTGAACCTCGACTTCCAGCTTCCGCAGTTTACTGTTCCCCTCAACCGTATTCGCTGGTGGCCGAAGAATTTCGTGCCGCTACTTCGGGGTGGTACGCGGCGCCCGAACCTCCAGCGGAGCAACTGCCACCGGCGTTCCGTGACCTCTTTGAGCCGCCAAGCTGCCAACTAGCCGGGTTCCGCAGTGGTTCACCCGTACCAGACGCGTACCGTGCGTCGCCACCGCCACATCACCACTATCGCACACCGGCACCTTCCTACTACCACCACCAAGCCTGCGTCGCCGCCGGTCCTGCGCCAGCACATAAGTCCTACTGAGACCTAGCTCTCAGGTAAGCTTACTTTGTTATTTCTAAGTGTATGCTTGCGCTCTGCGATGTTTCTTTTCAAGTAGTGTAGCGTCCGCGAATTCCGCTGTGCGTGTCGGTCAGCCGCTCCGTCGGACCATCGGAGGAGCGCCGGTGTGCACCGAGACACTTCGTGACGTGGTTGTGGTTGCAGGAGGCCGGCATCGCTCGGCGCCGAACGGATTTAGCCGCACGCGTCAGTTCCAGAGCGGATAAATATAGCGCAGTAGCCGGAGATGCCGTGGAGGCAAGTGGCGGCGCGTCGATAACCACTGTTTACAGATCGGCGGCCGACCCTGCCGCCTCCCGCTCCGTTCACACCTATAGGTATGTCGAAACTCCACATGTGTTAGAATACTAGACGTAACAATAAGTGGTGACGCGGGCAGCAGGAGCCGCCATGCTCCTCCATCTCTGATGTTTCGACGAAGTTCCACAGTCGCGGTTGTTTTGGCTTGTTTTGGACCTACATTGTAACGTTGTACGGATGTGTTTGTTACAGATACAGGAATGCGAGATTCTCCAATGTAATCAATTCACTCTTCCCTCTACCTAAATGTCGGACTATCTCTGTAGACACCTCATATACATAGTTGAAGTTGGTTAGGATACTGTAGCAACATGTCAAAAAACTTTTTTGTGAATTTCTCAATTTAAATGAAATTTGCATTAAAATGTTCTTAAAAACATTAGAAGTCGAGTCGTTCAAGCTTTGTACTTTGTGTGTCTAACAACTGACCATCTGGTGACCAAGTGCACGACCGCAAAAAATATAACAAAAGCGTGTGCTTGGGAACCTAATGCTAATTATGAAACAACAATATATTTCTCGGAGGGTTTATCTAAACGCTAAACATCATCCATGATTCACACGTAAGCGTACCTACATAGGTACTCGTACGTAGACGGCAATCTACTTAACAGCAATAACAAGTACAATTAGGTAATTACTTACTCAAACAAACGCAGGACGAAGCGTAAAATTATAAATCCTTATTTGCTGTCATTGTGCAAATATTGGCGAATGAAATGAAGTAGAGCCTCACCGCGTAACTTCCACTTAGGTACTTAGCGCGCAAGTAAATACGGGATTAACATAGAGCAACGGTATTCTATTTTTCTCTTCAGAAATAGCAAATGGAACTTTCGGAATAAGTCTTTCTTCGCACACATTTCAGTACCTACCTAAACCATTAAATATAAGTTTCAAATATTGTCTTTCGTAAAATATAATATTTATATACCTATGTAACGATTATTTTATCGTTTATTACCAACGTAAATGTGTACATATTACGGATCCACCCCACGTTTATTCCTATTATGCTACCGTAGAATTCTGTATAGAACTTTCAACATAACTACGCAACAACTAGAACACGCACTAATAGAATGTAGAAAGTTAGATAAACTGCCTATCCTTAAAGAAAAAAAAACAAAAGTGAGTTTTGGAAAAAGACACAAAAATACTCTTCTAGCTGTCAGCTTTATCTAGGTACCTACCTATTTTAAGTTATTCCGAAGCAGTCTTACTATACTTACATAAGAAAACGTCTTTTCTGAAATAAGTAGATTAATCCAAATCTAGATTAAAAAGTTGTACAGAAATTGCATTTATTGCTTAACCATCCACATATACGGGGAACGGTGAAATGAAATAAGATTAATATCCTGAACTGGAAAGTATCTCCTACTACTCCTATTAGATTACTCAAAACTTCTATTGGAAAAAGAGTAAAGTTTTGTTGTGGGGACAAGAGTCCAATTAGAACCACGACATTCTTCAAACGCGTTAATAAGTAAACAATTTTATTAAGCACTCTTATGCTTTAATCTGTTTTGATATAATTAATTGAAGTCTCTCGTTCTGGATGGGAAAAAAGGGAAGGAAAGAGATTCTGACCTACTAAAAACCATCCTGTGCCTTTTACTGGTCCAGGCCGAGGCCGCGGTTAATTGTAGCGCTTGTCCCGCAACCCCGGCTGAACATGAGCCCTGTTGGGCGCCACCTGGGGTGGTCTGTTCGCTTTTTGAGGTGCGCGGAGAATGCTAAGCGCTAAATCGCGGCGCTGGACATCGACCCCGGTACCTGATTATCAACAACCAAAATACCGACCTACAAAAAATTCCTTGAGTTACTACAGGCCTTGCCTTGCCTTGAGTGATTGAATCACGAAGCAACGAATTGACTGACAGACAATGCACAGCCGCAATAATTGATCGTAGAAAGCTAAAGTTTGGCATACACTCACACAAAATGAATCTCACGATTACGAGTGAGGATTCACAAATTCAGGAACATGTCTTCTCCTGTAGCTCTCAAAACCTTTTTTAACATATTTACTACCTACCTGCTAAGATAAGGTGAAGTAAATGACATGCTAGGGTATTTTGATAAAACCTCCAGAGCTAAAAAAAGCCCTAACTTTTAGCCCTTTACGAACTACAAACAATAACTCGACACTTACATCCGTTGGCACGCCGTGACTTTGATAATGTAGACCCACCCACTAGGTGGCCATACCCTATTCCATTTTCGCATATTCATTGTCGCTAACCTTGTACTTTCCTGGTTCATTAGCCAGTTAACCTTTCGAGCGATACCTATTGGTCTTTCAGTTTGCAGATTTTATGAGCTATGTTGGTAGCTGTAGTTCTTTGGCTATTTTTAGCAGTTCGAATTTTGTCGCGGACTGAATCGCCGTTCATAGATAGCCTCCTCAATCGCTCTCTGGGCGACTCTAAGCAAAGCAGAAGTTACGGGCGTCTTCTCTGTGCTGTATGTCATCACTAACAATGAATGTTCCTAGACCGAACACCGCCGTAAGAATATTTCACCTGAATTCTCGAATTCTTCAAATCAAAATGTTAAACTTATTGCCAAATAAGTCAGTTCCATACTATACAATAAGACTTAAATTCACAAAGCAACTAGATAAAACTACTCCGTCATCTCTACTCATCCTTTACAAGAAGAGGCGTGATGTTATCAAACTATATGTTCAGGGACTGGGCGGGGAGGATCATCAGTAGGAGGAACTGAACACCTCATAAACCACGAATGTCGTAAAACCTTACGATTGAACTCTATAAATATTTTAACGCCCCACTATATTCCATAAAACATAGATATGTAGATAAACTATTATTTATTATGTGTCGGCAAATAGTTATCGATCGAGCACATCAGTTTATTGTGTAAGCAATACATATTTTATTGTTGTTATTATATTATACCTAGCTAAAAATAAAATATTCTCTAATTCTTCGAAGCGTGAAGGAACAGGTATTACGTACGCACTTTATATTTTTGTATAATTTCAATACAACTTCAGAGCGTACATTGATAATGCGGTTTTCTTAAGCCAACTTGCAAATTTTATTTTGTTTGCTTACTAATAAGAATCGATTGGTAGAATCTTTGGTGGTAGGTACTTATTAGAATATGAATGTAAATTCAGAAATAATATTCGAATTTAATGTAACAAAAATAACATAATATGACGTCTATCAATTTCCAAAAATGCAAAATACGTATAGTTGCGTTGTGAGTGCCGCGATGTAGAATCAAGCTCATTGACTTTCTGCAGGAGTTTTAATTTCTTGGCTTCTTATGATTAGTCAAACTATAAGAACATTAATAGATAATTTACTGGCTGATCTCTAAACCAAATCGAGACCATATTCTCAGGAGTCAATTAGATTATTTTCTGCTTTTTTCCAAGCAATAGTTATTTATGCGCCTAGTTAAAATAATTGGCAGGCACTACGACTTCTTTTCGAAATAGGGAAGTTCAATCTTACATTAAGTAACCAGGGACAGAGTGTGGGGTTTTAGTTCATGATAACGCTATCGAAAAAGTTACCGCGTTTATCCCAATAATTGGTTAGTTAACATGGAAAAGCGCGAAACGTCATAGCGAATATGTCGATCGCATTAACGTAATACAGGGAATGCGGACTTCATTTAGTTTTTTACATAAATTATTGTAAACAATAATTGTATTGTTTCATTGAATTCATTTTTTAATTGTTTCATAAGGGTAACTCTCACTAAGCAATGTGAAGTCGTAAAAACTCGAGCTCGGCAAGCACTTGCAATGACAATGCTTGAGCCAGTGATAGTAATGATCCAAAGTTGATACTTTTATTTTAATCGTATCGTACTAATAATTTATTTTAAATTAATTTACCTAATGTGTGTGCATAATGTGCATGCATACAATAAATATTAAGGACATTTTTCTACTTAGGTATAGTTACTGAAATACGTAAAATTAATGACATATTGTGAAATAAGCCGTAAAAAAATAATAAAAAGATATTAAAAATATTATGATGATTGTGGTTCGAATATCAAGTGGGACCTAGGAGTCAAGATTGTAAAGAAAACATTTATTTTCCTTCATAAATTGATAATAAAAAAATAAAAATTTACAATAAAAAAATACAGTGTGCACTATATGTGCTCAAGATGTACCAACTTATCCTTAGATGTGAACTGATTTTTTTTTAGCTCTCATGGTATTTTTCATTAACGGAAAGTAAGTACCTAATTTTAGGGACTTATTTACTTAAAATTATTAAATTTTAAGATGATAGGATCTTAATGATATTTGGATCTTAACTATGCATTTGGAATAGGTTTATTTTTATTATAATCGTTAGGTATATACATTTGAGATACCTATCTGTCTTCGAATTTAGTTCTGACGACCTTTACATTTGCTCAAATTATCTGATTCAAGTCAGGTTCTAGAAAGGTTTGTTTATGTGTTATACTAAATTAAGATCATGAGGCTTTTTTCAAACTTTAAATATTTACTGCTATTTTATTTAAATAAATACCTTGAATCAACGGTAAGTAAGCCAAGCTTCGGCACGAATGGGCCGGCTCGACCGGCCTCACAGAAAGCAAGCGTGAAACAACCACAGAGTTGTGTTTCGTCATGTGAATGAGGTTCCCGCCCGCATGCCCAATCCCTCCCCCTCCCCTTCCCAATCCTTAAATATCGAAAACCCTTATCCCTAAAGGCCGGCAACGCACGGCGCTGATTGCTTACCACCAGATAATCCGTGCGACCGTTTGCCGACCCTGACCATAAAAAAAAGAACTCGGCCGCAGTTGAAACGTATGTTTAGGTATGTTTGCACTATATAATATGGTACTGGTTAGAGCTTTTTGAAAATAATCCCAACACGAGATTGATATCACTAATAATCGCTATTTTTGATGTTATAATAAAGTACATACTTATATAAGTACCTACCGTAAAATACTAGAAAGGTATTAAAATGTCGATAATTGTATCTTCTACTTACACGACTGTTCTTAGTAGATGAAATTAGGTATTTTTTTTTGCTGCCTGCAATTTAATTGGATAAAAATCTAGTTAGAATTCAGTTGATTGTAATTGAATCAAATCAAAGATATTTTAATAAGGTATGACAGAGAACTAAACATAATGTCTACTCTAGTAACTACGTATAGATGTACCTACTTTGTAAGTTTTAAACAAACATTGGGGATAAAGAGTAAACCCGTGAAAAGTCTGTCCCTCTGTGTACTCTGGGGGAACTCCAAAACGTAGTCAGCTTCTGTTTTCACATGGCTAATGGATTAATTTTATTCTAATGCGCTTTGTCAAGCAGATTTGTCATTTGTCGATAAAAAAATGAATTGAAATTGGAATCTTAATTTTGAACGTCAAGCTTCGAATTTTAAAATCCTAATTCCATAGGTATTAAAAATTAGAGATTTTTTTTTGTATTAAGTAATTTATTTTTTATTTTTTGGCTACCTTTTTAAATTAAATTATATGTTAACCAAAGTTCACTCTTTTTGGATTGGTATGTTGATATTGATAGTACTTCTTGCGTTAGGGTTTAAAAACATTGCACACTAAATTTAAAAAAAACCTTACAAAAGTGTGTGCTACCTTTCACAATTTATCGATCGCTACTAGTGTTTTAGTTAGTTAAAATCTAATTCAACCAATAATTCAGTAATTAAAATTTGTATTTTTCCGCGCGGAGTTGCCATATGTCCTCGTGCGATTTGGTCCAAATGCACTGATACGACGGATTCACGGAAAACCAGCGCGAAACAACTCTTGACCTTTCTTTCTTTTTCTTGTTTCGCCGTTTAAGTAATGTCACTGGATGTCCTATCCTCCGCTTTCTTTCACCAATTTCCAAATATCCAATCGTCAAAGGTCTTGTAACTCCTTTGGTTTTTATTCATCCCATAAAAACCACACTTTCTTCTGTCCGAGAATGTACCTTATTAAGAGCGCCTTATATACGCAGCACATTTCTTAACGTTCAAGTTCAAAATAACAGAAATTTGTTAAGCACCAAATTGAGTTAAGAAATTAGATTATTGAAATAGTTCTTAAACGCGATTTTACATTTAATTTTGTAGAAAACATACATACTTATATCTCTGTCTTTCTTAACTGTTTTCCTAAATATGCTTAATTAAGTTTTAAGACCTAGGTAGTTATATAGAGTAGGTTTACCAAGTTTTATTAAAATCGGTTCTGTAGTTTCCATGATTTTGAACTTGAAGGCTTGCAGTGAAACCCGCGACGCATACACATACGTTCTCAAGTGCGTAGCAAGCGTAGCAAATGCTACGCGCTCCGCGTTCTAATCACCTTGAAGAGTTTTTACGAAAACTATAGTCAGATCAGAATTAATCATTCGGATTGACTTTTCTCTCTGTTATCTACGCTTCTAGGGACAGTCTGTATACGATTGAGAGCCCCTCAATCAAATCTTTTAAAAACTTGGCGCTTAATTAGTCCTCAATCGTCCGTGCATCACGTTGCTACTACGTATTGTTAGTTCAAGGACATAAATATTCAAAAGTATCGACTCAGTGTTTCAAAATCTTTGCAATATATCTGCTGATTCAGTCAAAACTTTAACTTGCATACATATAAAATAGGTGGTAAATTTAAGCTATACAAAGTGACTTAAAAGACATCAAGTGAATAGAAAACTCAAATTATGGGATTCATACTGACGTAGGTAGATACTACGAGTATACCAAAAATCAAAGCCCCAAATATTATAGCATAGCAAGTATAGTTTTTTAATCACATGAAGTCAAAATATAGTACCTATATAGTAATCGTCATTTAGCTTAGCATTTCTTTTTTTTAGAAGGAAATACAATGTTATTGCTTATTCTCCCGCTCTGGGTAGGGCAAGAGGGAACGTCAGACAAATACTGACTAAAAACCAGTCCGTTGCTTCCCTTGCTCGATAGGACGAAAAATGAGCCGACAGATTGCCTGATGGTAAGCAATCAGCTCCGCTCATGGACACCCGCAACTACGAAGAAGTTACGAGTACTTTGCCGTCGTTTTAGAGATTAGGGTTTTGGAGATTTAGAGGGCCTCCTCGGTAACTTTATTCACAGGGCGAAACACAAGCTGTGGTGGTTTCATGCCGATGTTTTACAAGGCCGCGGTATCACTTCGGTCGAGCCAACCCATACGTGCCGAAGCATGGCTCTCCCACACTTAAATATAAGCTTTACGCTCTGATTCACTAACTATCTTTGTTCATAGTACCGCATGCGTATATGAACGGTTTTCTAAAATACATAGTGACACACATATTTCAAATCGGGTTGATGATCCTAGGGAATTCTGTAGGTATTCAAATCCATAAATATATTAAAGTTACTTTTACAAGTATAATTAGAGTGTTTTTTATAATAACTATCGTGAGACATACTAAATTAACTAAAAATCGCGGGTTACTCACGTTTGTTTTTGAGAAAAGCTCTACTAGTTTCGAACCACAGAGGGGTGCGGACGCGCCAGTAGGCTGCGCGACGTCCCCGCGTCCGCGCACGTAAACTAGTAGGTACAGCTTTTCTCAAAAACAAACGTGAGTAACCCCCGATTTTTAGTTAATTTATAATTAGAGTATTCACCATAAATACTAGAAGTATGAGTAGGATCATCGTAACTAACCAACTTCCACCCTCTTATGACGTAGGTATGCAGTGCAAAAAATCTTATTACAAAAGTAAACCTTAAGATAAGGAAGGCCTTATCACGTAATATCGATAAGCTGGACGGAAGCGAAACAGTTAATCTTCTAAATACATCCGGACGTCGCGTCAGCTCAATAAAGTACTTTAACAAAAAAATACGTAACTTAATGTAAGATAATAGAAACAATGTTTTTGCATAATTATTTTTATAAGATGGCCTTAGCTGTCCTAAAGGGCATCTATCTAATTTACATTTACAAAAATCAAACCCAACTTTTGATATTAAAGTGAACAATTTTTTACTCAGTTCGATATTCAGATGTTAGAAATCGTAAAAAGATACCAAATAACCCTTTATCCATCCAGTTGTCATTCAGGATACACATCGTACAAAACTTAAATAAATAGAACGTGATTCAATTGTTTTGGAGTTATATTGAAGATGAAATACATTTAAGTATTTAGGAACGTCAATTACTTTACCAAGGAAAAAGTTTTAATCTAGGACAAGGGTACATAACATAAGAACTGGAAATTCTTAATTTTTTTTAGTTTACATAAAGGTAGAATGGATTCGATAATCCTCTTTCGTATCTCGATAATACAAAGCATGCATAATCTATTTAATCAAGGTGTCATACAATTCGATTTTGTCTAACACTCGTAACCGAATGTAGCAAAGAACTTGTCTTCTAAATAATGAAATTTCAAGATTTTAATCAATAAATAGTGACATGTACATAGTACACTACACACACAAAGTTGCTTACTTAATCCCTATATCCTTATCTATTCTTAAATCTTTAAAACTACGCAACGGATTTCGATGCGATTTTTCAAATCGATCGAGTGATTAAAGAGGATGATTTTAATATGTACCTATAATAACATCAATTAAGCAGTGGAGAATTTTGGTATCAGCATTGTAGCCGTGCGAAGCGGGTCGGGTCGGCAGGTCGCTAGTTTATAATATATAATGAAATTGACATGGAATGTTTGTTTGTCGCAGGTATGGCGGAACAAGAAGATAGCGGGAGGCTGAGTGCAGGGGTGACGCGAATATTTAACGTGTCTGGAAGAGACGGCGACATAGTGTTGTAAGAACAATATTCCACGTGGTGCACATATTGTAGCAAACGTCTCGTGTTTGTAAAGTTCAAGCTATCATCGTATCTCCACAAGAGATATTATCGAATGATGGCACCCGAAGACTTATTTTAGTATGTATATTCGTTTACCTATGAACTTAATATAATTAATAGATAGGACGAAATCCGATAATTCCGAAGTAACGTATCGTTCATTATTGTCGTAGGCCGAACATTAATTACAGTATTACCCGTTGAAACAGTATTATGTACATGAACGCTGTACGTACCACATGATCTGTAAACAAATCTTATTAGATAAATGTAAATATTTAGTTATTAATACCTAGTAAGTGTATGAAGCGTAGATTCTCCCCTGTGAAAAAGTAATAGTTTTTGTGAGAACATATTTAGGGGATGTGCTGTTATTCTAGTCTGCTACTTTAGGCAAAGTATTTGTGTAATAGATGTATACAGAAACATGCGAATATATAAAACGAAATAAACTTCTAATGTACATGGATCTACATATATCGTAACGAACGAAATGATATCTAACATTAAGTAGAATCTTAACTTAAACAATTTAAAACAATATTTTATCCATTATATTGTTATTAAATATTTTTAAAACAACTTTATGCATCCCGAGTAATTGTTTTTCCTACCATGTCTACATGCACTTAACTTATGACATAAAATACTTATTACAATTAAAGTACAACCGACAGATATCAAACTGTAAAATGGACTAAGTGTATTGAGTACATTAATTAGATACGTATAATTAATCTGTATAATTAAGGTTAGAAATTAGATAGAATCGTGTATTAAGACACGAAGAAATAGGAACAGCCCAGTCTCTTAAATATAATGTACCTACTTATACAAATAAATATTTACTATATAGCTTTCCAAATTAGGATCAATTTGAAACTGAGACGAGATATTATTTAATCAAAGTTTTAGGTTTTAGTGTAAAAACAGCATTTTTCGTAGCGTAGGCGATAATTAGTGACATTTTGTAAATAAAAATGTAACATTTTGATGGATTTCTTCTCTTGATAATTAGAAAAAATGAACAAAAAATTATCTAGATTAGACAGGAATGAAAAAGGTAAATATGTCCTTTAATTACTCTGTGAAATTAATTGAAATAATCAATACAAACAATACGCTATTAGCGTGGCTTTGTGAGTTCGTTATTAAAAACATTATCTAAGTATTGCATCCGACGGACTTGTAATCTTTGAACATTATACAAGCTAGGCAATATTCCACAGCTTTCACTTATAAAAGTTAAGTTGCAAAATGCATAAGTTGCAAATCGTATCTCGAACTCGAACGTAAACAACCGAAAAATATATTAACACGTAACTGTAATTAAGTATATCGTAAACATTCAATTCCACGAATTACCTACACAGTAAACAATATTATTATGTATATGGAGATTAATGTAATTAAATGAATTGTAATTTAAGTAAAATTAATACTCGTACAATATGCAATACTGTCAGATACGAAACGATCTGCGGAAAACGCAGACCAAATACATATTCGACTCAGGGATTATTAAGTACCTACCTACCTACTATGTATTTTGTCGATTTTCTATAGATGTAATATGATTAATGCATTTTGTACCTTCGTAAAGTACACGTAGCCACGTCTTCTGTTGAATTCGGAAACTTGGTACAATTTCTGATAGTTCAAAAAACTGTGAAGATACATACATGTACCTAGGTAATTACCAACACGCATTCACATTAATTATTTATATAATAAAATATACTTCAGTAATTTTGTCACGAGTACTTAGTTCACAATGCATCATATTGTTTCACATGTAATAATAAAATATTAGATGACCTACCTATTAGCTGATAAATTTGTGATAATTATCGTAATCGTGTGTACATAAATGTATTTAATAATAAATGTTTATTTGTATTTAGCATATCGACTTTATTTGTGTTTATTATTTTAATAAAATTCCTAATGTAATATTTCCCATTTGCGGTTACTAATAGCATTATTTTGTCATAACCTGAGTCTGTCTTCGTTTTCAAATGCACGCAACTGCAACTAAGTATATGCTAAAGGGACCTTTTACATATAAACTTTGCTTATCTTTATTCTTTTCCAAGTTAGTTGATATCTTCCACGTACATCATAATTTTTCCACGAGAAAAAACATATCCACAATCATACCCAATAATCATCACATTTTTTAAGCACGTTTAACATATAATAGTAATTGTAAAATTAAACATGAGTATGACATTTTTAACTATAATGTCTTGAGTTTAATTCAAAATACAAGAATCGCCTGATCGGATAAGTTAAGTGTTGAGATTCCATTAAACGATCGATCTGGGAAAAAAGTAAAATACGTGTGTCAGCCTGAGACCGTTCGTTAGTGAGTAATAATTTTAGCTTGTTTGTAATTCGAATGAAACGAAACACACAAGTGGCCACTCGGCCGATTGGATACGAGACTGATTTTATCGAATCATCACTCAATCAAACATTGGTACACACATTTTTAGATGTTCAAGCACGGCCATTGAAAAAACGTGTCAATAAAATTAGGCAGGCAAGTAGGTAGTTCGAGTAGGCGTTCATTGAATGCAGCCTGCGCTCCATCCAAGTCATTTTATCAAAGGTAATTTAGAATCATTTTCTTTTAAAGTTGAGTACCTACCTACGGTTAGGCGAGATTTTCGGAGTCTTATATGTGACTAAAATGCCGGGAGATACATTGGTACCGTAAAACGATAAAAGAGAGAAAGAGAAAGAGAAAATAAGAAAATATATGGTATGATTTTTTTATTTATTTTAAAAAAAGAAAAAGTATTTGCAAGAGTCCTTACTAAACGTAGTCGACATGGCAAAGAGTAGAATAGAACAGGGCAACTTAAATCTGTTGAAACGTCTTTATTAGTCGACTAGCGACCCGCCCCGGCTTCGCACGTATGCAATCTTGATACTAAATTTCTCCACTATTATATGGATGTGTTTATACTTTTTAGTACGTTCGTACATGTAGCGTGGGTCACCAGTAAAAGAAGAGGGTAAAATAACTAAACGGCCCATACTCACAGTAATATTATCTTGCTGCATGACGTCTCAAAGACGCGTACGCATTCTAAGCGTATTTGCACACCTATTTCTATTTTTTTTTTATTGAATCCGTAATAATGTAAACCTTTTTAAATTAGGGATGAGTGAGTGATATTGTAAACGTATAAAATCAGTATGCTCCGAACTGCTAAGCTATCAGGAGTTGAAAATTTGTCGAATAGTTTTTGTTTCTATAAGGAACATACAGACAGACAGACCGACAGACACAAATTTTACAGATTGCATTTTTTAAAATATATTTCATGTACAGAATTGACCTCTCACACACATTTAATATAGATATCTACATGCCTCTGTCCGCTATTTATCCAAGAGGGTATTTTCTCTAGCTCTGATGATGGAAGTCTAAGAAAGCGAATGGGCCTAGTAATTTTATGGTTTATTAGTGCTGGCATAACGTTGAGCACCGGAGATTTCTACAGGACATAGGAGTAAATCATGAAGTGGCTTCTCTCGCCCTAGCCGGGGCAAGAGATGCCTCTTAAGGAAAGACTTATAACCACCCCGTTACTTCTCCTGCTCCAAGCCGGCGACGCGGTACCTACTTACATTAGTTACTGTTATTGCGCTACAACCGCAACCCCGGCTAACCATCAGCCCTATTGCCCAACAGGACTGATGTTCATCTGTGGTGTCAATCAAGTTTGTGTTGTGCTTCAGTTTCACAAGGTTACTATTGATTGCGTAGCTTTAAGCTACCCGTATTCTCAAAGGAGTTTTGAAAATGACTGTTATCTGGATCAAACTACAAAAACCATGCACAAAACACTAAGTTTAGTGCACTAACATATCATTTTAGAGGTAGATTATACGATTAAGTATAATAAACATCATAAGGCATATCATGAGTAATGAAGTGAAAAAAATCAATTTACACGAGTATAACGTTCTTTTAAATAAAATTTTTCATTTTTTTTTTATAGTATTGTTACGTGCCTGACTACGCGGGCTTGGGTTACGGGATTGGATGAAATGAAACACTAATACCGGTTTTCAGACTTTCTATTGCACTTAAGTTACAGCGTCCACGGAGTTAAGTTATCGGCGTTCCTCTCCAGCAGAGTCCGGCCGACTGACACAACTTTGCCGTTCACGCTGGCTTAACTCACTTAACTGACTGCACTGCACTATTTCACTGCACTTCACTATTTCACTCACTTTTCTTCTTTCTCACTTCTTTCTTTTCTTCCGAATCGCTTTAGACTTAGAACTCAACTGCCAGCGGTGAGCCGCAGTTCTGCTTATATACCCCCGGTCAGGTTCTGGAACATTCAATTTCGTTATTCTTTTTGATCGTCATGCCTCCAGAACCTTCCAATAATTTCGCTATTCATTTTTATTTATTCTCCTTCTCACTCTTTAATTTTTCATCTCTTTCACACAAATAATTCCAGAAAGTTCGACAAAACTTCCATCAACTAAAAAACTTCATGTTTACGGCGGGACTCGAACTCGGGGTCTCTGTGGTGTAATCCACACGCCTTACCAATTACACCAACTCGTATTGACAATTCACGACGAAATTTACAATCTCTAGGCAACGTTTGACAACCATCCATTGACGTCATGATGTCAAAGAGTTTGAACCACTTTTCCGTCACAGTATTAATACCAATACCAGACTTCCATATCTACCAAACCTACCAGGATACATAGAACTTGGTAATAAAATTCACTTAATAAATAAATACATAGGTTCAACAGACTTAACTGTTTCATCGTAATTTAAAAACAGAAACAAAGTGGTCTGGCTGAAATTGCATTTGCCAAAGACGAAATAGCGTGAAACTTTGATTTGTAATGATTGATGATAAAATTATAATAATAATAATATATAACAAATTAGTTAATATGTATAAAGAATACGAATAAAACATCTGGCCATGGTTAGTACTCAAGTCACGATCCACACGTGACATTCCAATGACGAATAAAAAATATCAAGTGTCGATACAAGAAGCTGAGGTTGGTCACAACAATGACTATCCACCCACCAGTTATGATGACACGTTGATCCTGTTTACATATTGAGTGGAAGGGTCTTGTTATGCTGGTCCTTTGCACCGTGTGCCCAGTCGAGAGGCTTCGTCATTTAGTGGCGGATTCTTCAATTTGACATGCCACCGCCCGCGTAGATATCATTATTGTTTTTTTTCAATATAAACGACTGTCATTTTAATATCAACACAATTTATTGTATGAAAATTTGATATTTTAAAGCGTTTAGTTTTAAGTACTATTTGTATTTATCAACGTACCTACCTATTTATATACCTGTACGATCAAAAAGTATCGCCCGCAATGAACTAGAAAGACCCAGGGCTTGAGAAAAAAGTAAACAAAAAATTTTAGCTTATTCTTAAAACATCAAATCATTTCGCCAATAAGTTCTATAATATTAAAAAAGGTGTA